CACACACACACACACACACACACACACACGGAGGCAAGCAGATGTCTTTCTGGAATTGCCAGAGAGAGGGGGCGCTTCTCGGCGCCCGGGAGAGGCTGCTCCGCTGGGAGAGGGCGAAAAAAGAGTGCCGTGTTTCTGGTGGCCGGGTGCATGAAGATGCCTTCTCCTCTCGCGCGAACGGGATCCCCTCTCAGGCGGCCACCCTCTGGCCATGGATTATGGGGAAGGGGCGATCAAGGGAAAGACATGCCCCTGCGAGCCATGGGTCTGTGGGGGGTCCCGAGTCCAGGGGGGCATGTGTATTCTCTCTCGCAGGGACACGAAGCAAGCACACACGGTCCTCCCTTGCCGCGGGCTTGCAGGGAGGGAGATGCGTGAATTTGACCACGCGGGCCGGTATCATGCGTGTGTCTTAATAAATTCCGTTGAAGAAAATATGAGAATATACGATTTGATAATGTGAGCGCGACAACCAACGAACGGACCGCTGGCTGGTGCTCCGGTTTGTGTTCGCTACATCCTGCTGCGTGCGACCCCCTTGCGTGTGTGCTTTTTTTTGTTTGCCGGGCTCCCTCCGGGCTGCTCCTTGGAGGGGCTGTGTGTGGGGATCTATTTGTGGGCGTGGGGTGCATGAACGGGGCGCCTCTCCTGGGGCGCATGGCCACCTCTGTTTTCCCCCATCCCCCTCTCCCCCTTCCTTTCTCTCTCTCTCTCTCTCTCTCTCTCTCTCTCTCCCTCCCTCTCCCTCTCTCTCTCTCATCATATGTTGGCTTCAAGGACGGCCGTGCGAGCCCTGCGTGCGTGGGGCTCGCCGGCATTGGCGACGGCGGCGGCGGCCCGGCGGGGCTGGTCTCTGGCCCGGGGCCACACACCGGTCGCTCGGGGCCAGGTTCCCCCCTGGCCACCAACGGGGGCGTGTATGCGACAGCATGCCCGGCCATCATCATGGCTCCTGGGGGCATGTCGCTGCTCCATATGCGGGCGTTCTCCTCGGCCGCCGAAAGCACGACCACCAAAGTGGCCACATCCACCGGGTGTGCGAATTACGACGCCGAGTGCGCCGGGGCGCGGCTCTGCCGGGCCAT